CATCATGCTTCGCCCAAACAAGTTCGTTACCTCAACCACATAGACTGAACTTCTTGAGAATGTCGTCCAATGTATAATAATGCCTTTAAGCAATTTTATTTGTTGAGTTCTCTGCTTGGTACATTATTTTTCTTTTTTTGTTTAAACGTTTTAAAACATGACAGTAATGTCACTGTTTAAAGGAAAAAATTGCTCAATAAATTAGTAAAATGTAACTTGTTATGTTTGGGTTCTTTCATCTAAGGTAGACATGGTGTGACCCATGTACTGGTTTAGATTTTTTGTTTTTACTGTAACTGACCTTCAAAAGATCTAGAAACAGGAACTCAGCAGCTGATCCTCCGTAGAAAAATTATATGGACTACAGGCCATGTATTATTTGTTTTGTGCCCTTTAGTGAAGGTTTTTGTTTGGATTAAGACAATAAATGTCTCTATTTCACCACAGATGAACTGTTCCTGTTGCCATATCTTTTGAAATAGAACTGTAGAACACAAAGTAATTTAAACAGGAATGGGTAGAAGATCAAATCAAATTCAATGTATTTCCTAAAAATTTAATGAAGAGAAAAAAATAGGACAGGAGTGGGAGTGATTCTGAACAGGAGCAGGAGTCATGTTACCAGGAGTGGGACAGGACAGGATTTTTTCTTTGGGACCAGGACAGGACAGGATTGAAAATCCACTCTTGTGTCATCCTCTAGTTTGCATTTGAGTTTGATGGCAAGCCTTACACCTTCACAAGGTTGTACCAGGGCTATTGTGAAAGTTCAACCATCTATAATGCCACCCTTAAGGCCTCACTTGATGATCTGGTTCTGACCCCTGGCTCTGTTCTTTTGTAGTACGTGGATGATCTTCTCCTGTGTTCCCCAACCCAGACTCAGTGCACTGAGGACATGGTCCTGCTATTAAATCATCTACATTCTAAGGGGCACAGTGCCAGCCTCTCCAAAATTCAGTTTGTTAAACTAACTGTCACCTTTCTGGGTTATGTGCTGTCCCAGTGCTCTCACACTTTATCAGATAAAAGGGCGGACGCTGTACAGCACATTCGCCATCCCATCACAAAAAGACAAATTATGTCATTTCTCAGTACTACTTCCAACATTTAATCACCCCGCTGCTTCACAACTGCTTTAATGACAACGTGAGACGAGCTCTTCACCTCATAGATCAAATAAACAACACAGAATCAATAGCTGTCAGTTTAGATGCTGAAAAGGCATTTGATTCAGTAAGATGAAACTGTCTTTATTTAACTTTAGAAAGATTTGGCTTTAATAATCAATGTATAGGTTGCTTTCAGTCTCTATATAATCACCCGCTGCTAGGATTAAGATCAATAGAGACTTATCAGATACAATACAATTGGAAAGGGGTTGTTGTCGAGGGTGCCCCCTTAGTCCCACCCTATTTTCACTTATTATTGAGCCTCTAGCACAGGCCAATAGAGAACACAAGAACATCATAGGTGTAAATATTAAAGACACAATGCACAAAGTCTGCCTGTACACTGACGATGTGCTCGTAACTTTATCTAATCCTGGTCAGCCTACCTAATCTCCTCTCCTTACTCAGGACATTCGGCACATAATAGGGATATAAATTAAATTTACAGAAAACCGAGGTTCTTTCATGTGTCTTTGTCTGTGTCTTTCAAGATGTGTTTTCCAGCAGTGTAAGTCCTTCACCCGTACCCGTTAGCTTGTGGTCCCAACGGCTTGTTGGTAACATTTAGAGACAGTTTTTGGAGCAGAAGAAGCTACAGACAGGAGATAAGCCTTCTTAGATATTTCCTGTTTGCACATTTCCTCTAAAATATGTATAATCATTTCCATCTACTTGTACTTGGAAATGAGACCTTTATCATCTTCTTCTCGTTGTCATGATCAGTGGCCCCCGCTGGCCCCCCATCTGCTCACTTCCCTGCCCCTTCATGACATGCCATGTTTTCTGCCCCTCTCCTTCATGTTTTGTTTATCCCTCAGCTCCTGTCATTGCTCACATCTGCTCCTGTCAGTTAACAGTTCACCACACCCCCTCAGCCTATCACAGCAGTCAGCCCTGATTCCACTCACCTGTTCAGCTCATCTGGTTCACCTGCTCTGCACCGTTTATAAGATCCATTCTCCCTCTCCACCAGGGCTAGATTATTACACCTTCCATGGTCCCTGATTTTCAAGCCTTCATAGTTTCATGCCTGAACCTCAAGCCTTGTTTTATTGGATTTTCGACCTCACGCCTTGCCTTCTGGATTTCCTGTTTTTGCCTGCTCGTCATCTGGTTCTGTTCTGCCTCTCTGTTCACGGTAACAACTAACATATTGTTTGATAAGTATGACCCCAAATGGCAGACCAAAAAC